GATGAGACCTTTGTTTATCTGAGAGAACTTCTGTTTGATGACTCATGCTTGAACCTTGACTTGATATGACCTGGTTGAACTTTCATTGATTTGATCTGAGAAGACCCTTATTGAGAACCATTATCTGATTTGATTACATTATGGGGGATTGTGAGTTACTTATGACTGAATGACAGGGCTGTGTTACTAAGGGAACCAACCGAATGAAAATTTGAATCAATCTCGAACACTTAGGAACAATGTGAACCGTCAACAACAGACTAGTTTGATTATAAACTCTGACTATCTGGAAGTATATGTAATCAGTATGATTGTTTCTATATTGACACATAGTGCGATCGAATCTGTGGAAACTGAGGCTGATGAATAGTATAGGAATGATTACGTTGGAATTCCGTTTTCTGCTGTGGGGTTAATGTACGAAGTTGCCTAGCATTTCTGATAACCTTAGAATGACCTGGACTGACTGTGATGTTGAGAACCATTGAACAAAGACCGGATGAATGACTCGAAAATAAATAAATCAAATCTCTGTAACTTAACGGGGGAAATGACTTATGAAAATGGGAATAGTGTGAATTTAGGACGTCCGATAAATATTTGATATAAGTAATGTGAGTAATAAAGTTATGTTCAATTGTATTTATTTTCTGTGTGACGAAATAAGTTTTGCTTTCTGAAATGCTATATATTGTATACTGAATAATTGTCTAATCTCTGATATGTATTCGTGTGACTTTTGATATTATGTGATATCTGTTGGCTGTTACCCGGTATCGAAGGTTCCTTTAAGAAACCTACATCTGTCTGAACTCTGTTACCCGTACCGGAGGCCCTGTCATGGGGGCTCAGCTTATCCGTTCTCTATACCCGGATTTAGAGGTTCCTTTATGGAACTGGTTATTCATAACCATCACGTGTCTGTATCTGTTCTGTATCTGCTATGTCTGCATCTACTCTGTATCTGCTGTGTTAGTGCTAATAAATGCACCACGTATGTTTAAGCAAGACTTGTGACATCTATGTATGATCTGGGCAAGAATATGAATATGAACACGTATCTGAATCTGTTCTTGACTAAAATCTGAATGTGTATAAGACTCTGTTTTGATACGAATCCTAATCTCTATATATGATTTGTGATTCTGTTTCGGTATGAAGCTAAGGTCGAGATTGGGTTATGAGCATATTTATAAATATGGTTATGCTTCTGTTTTGTAAAGAATTGCAGTTATATTTTGATGGACATCATTTCTTTTGATATAAGATAACTTGAGTTTGGAGGACCAAACTTTTTAAGGTGGGAAGCCTGTAATAACCCTGATCCACAATTAGCCACTAATCGGTAGTTAAGGATGTTAATTAAGTGAATAAAATAAATTATGGGTTTATTATGTGATTTGCATGATATTTGGCTTTCTATCTGTTACTTATAGAAATATCTATTTGAAATTTCACTTTAATATGTAAATTGAAAGCCTTATCAGCACCTGAAATCGAAATTGACTCCACCAATATGTTATTTGGAATTTTTAGAACCATATGGCAAGTTTTATTAAAAATTGATTCAGTCTGATTCGTTAAGTCGCGTTTGGCAAGCCTTATGTTCTAATTAGTGTATTTTAGCATCATAGCTTTATATGTGAGATATAAGCTCATTTTGAGCTCATTTTCTTTTATCCCTTGAGTGGAAAAATCTGGTGAAACATTCTAGAGAGAGAGGGAGCACAATTCTAGAGAGAGAGATGGAAGAATTGAAGGAGAATTGAAGACCTTGGCTTAGATTCATCAAAACTAAGCTAGAGCTAGATTAATTCAAGACTATAGGTATGAATTCAACCCCTAAATTATGAATCTAAGTTATCAACATGAAGATTATGTGTTTAAGGGTGTGTATTGAGCTTAGAATGAAGATTTGAGCTGCAAGTCATGCATGCATGTACATTTTCTTACAAATTGAGCATGATTTCCATGAATCCGCTCTTGCATGTTTGAAATTCATCGTCATTTGGGGAAATCATCAAGATTCAAGTTGTTTTGTGGTGTTTGATCATGTTATGAGAAGTTTGATACAAGAAAAATTCATGCATGTTATGTTCATATATTGATTTTGAGTTTAAAGTGGAATTTTGTACAATTGATATCCTTTTGGGCCATGATTTCTTGAAATGATCTTTTAAACATGTTGTTCTATGAGTTATTAAGTGTTTTCCAAAGTTTTGTACCCAGAAAATTGAGTTTGGTGCTTCAAAGGTCGAATTTGAGCTTGGTGATTACATCTGGAATTTCCAGAAATTTGATCCACGCTCGAGCGTGGGACTTTACGCTCGAGCGTGAACTCTAAGTACGTGCACTTCGCTCGAGCGTGGAAGTATACGCTCGAGCGTTAAATGCATGTACCCAGAAGTTTGTGGGTTTTGCAGTCCGCTCGAGCGGGGGAATATACGCTCGAGCGAGGGTCTGAGTCTCACGCTCGAGCGTAGGTCGAGCACCCGTCGAGCGTGAAAAACATGCATCCAGTTCTTTTGTCAAGATTTACAGTCCGCTCGAGCGGGGAAGTCCATGCTCGAGCGGGGGTTCATTGTTTGCATGTCCGCTCGAGCGAGGGAATCCACGCTCAAGCGTGGACCTTATTTTCAGCAAATCTTGAGAAATGTTTTCCAACGCATTCTTGCATCCTCATTCCGTCCTAGGCATTTCTAAGCCATGTTTAAGACTCCATAGTGAGGATTAAGGGTTAGAGACACACTAAGAGCAACGACATAAGTTATGTACATTTCGAATGTGCATTTCAAGTGTGTGTTCGTATGTGTGTTCATGTAGGTCACTTGCCTCAGAACAAGTGAAGGGCCGCCTTACCATGTAGTTAGGGCTACCAATAATCTGTGAGTAATAACTTTGTAAAGTTATGTTTAATGTTAAGTATTTTCTGAATATTATGATACGAAGTAATTAGTTCTCTGAAACGCCATGTTGGGTTTGAAATGAATGAATGGTTGTCCAAAATTCTGAAAGTTATTCGTGGCATCCTTAACATCATGTGATATGCGTCCCTTTATGGGTCATCAGGTCCCTTTATGGGTCATCAGAAACGTCTCTGTGCACATGAGTCATCAGAATGCCTTCAAGGCCGTCCCTTTATGGGCTATCGGATTTGTTAACAGTAAGGGATGTACCATGCATGATTATATGCAAAATCTGAATATGGAAATGATTACGAATATGTATATGAATCTGTTTCTGATAAGAATTTGATTTCTAACTGTGTGATGGACATCATTCATTAAATCCTTTACTCTGTTATTATTCACTGGGCTTTAACTCACTGTTTGTATATATATGTATATATAGGTGGGCATTCTGGAGATCGAGCCCGAAGGCTTTTGTTTGGAACTGTGTTTCTGTTGTCAGCCAACCATCGCGCCTCACGTGAAGGTTCCCGAAGTGTCCTGTGTTCAGTCTTGTTGATTCTGTATATGTACGAGGCTAGATTTGATTATGTTGGCTGTACTTAAGATACTGTAATGTGTGTGGGTATAATGTGTGGTTGACTATCGGATATGTATATAAAGTTTTAAATATTCTGTTTCATATAAGTCAGCACAGCTCATTGGACAACTATATTTATGTATTTGCTTCCGCTAGCCCCTTAATCTTGTTAATCTGTTCAGAGGCCTTTGGTAGTCCAAGGATTACTGATCGGTTACGATGCTAAACCTATAGGGATGGGTTTGGGTCGTGACAACCAACCATGGGGGGGTCAAGATATTTTGTGATTTTTGTTGATGATTTTTCTCGTTATACTTGGTTTTTTCTTCTTAAAAATCGATCTGAACTTAAACAGATTTACTATGATTTCTTTAACATGTTTCGCACTCAGTTTTCTCATACTATTAAAATATTTCGTTCTGATAATGCTAAAGAGTACTTGGATTCTGAATTTCTGTCTTTCTTCGGGCGCTAATGGTATCCTATCTTATTGCTCTTGTGCAGGCACGTCCCAACAAAATGGACGAGCTGAAAGGAAGCATCGTCATATTCTAGACATTACCTGGGCTCTTTTCATCTCATCCTCTTGTCCTGAATAATTTTGAGAGGAAACTGCTCTCACTGCCATCCACACCATAAATCGTGTACCTACACTTGTCAAAGCTAATATTTCCCCTTATGAGCGCTTGCATGGTTCTTCTCCTGACTACACCACTCTTAAAGTTTTTGGTTCTGCTTGTTTTGTTCTACTTCAGTCTCATGAACACACTAAACTAGAACCTCGCTCTCGTCTTTGCTGTTTTATGGGGTATGGTATAGAACATAAAGAGTATCGTTATTGGGATCTTATCTCCAAGCGACTTCGTATTTCCCGTCATGTGGTCTTCTGGGAACACAAAATGTTCTCAAATCTTTCCAAGTTTTACTTACCATAATCCACCCACTCACCGATCTTTACTGATCTCTCTATAGACATATTTTTTAATGACTTTGTTGTAGATTCTGACTCTATGCTTTCATAACCGCCTACGCCTATTGTCTATCCTGAGGATCCTGTATCTGCTGATGGCCCTACACATTTTCCTGTTGAGATTCCTCATCTACCAGAGCATTATTCCACACGGGTAAGGCAACCTTCTGTTCTTCTCCGTGATTATATTGTTGGTTCCACTGGCTTTTCCTCTCATGAACCTACTTCCTATCAAGAAGCTTGTTCTAATCCTTTTTGGTAACAAGCTATGACTGATGAACTGCAGGCTTTCGATAAAACTCATACCTGGGATGTGGTTGATCTTCCTTCTGGCAAGAGTACTGTTAGTTGTAAATGGGTTTACAAGCTCAAAACTCATTCTGACGATTCCATTAAGCGTTACAAAGCTTGCCTTGTCGCCCAAGGGTTTACTCATGAGTATGGCATTGACTATAAAGAAATATTTGCTCCTGTTACTCGTCTTACTTCCGTTCGCAATTTACTTGTAGTGACTGTTGCTCGCCACTAGAGTCTTTATCAAATGGATGTCAAGAATGCATTCCTCAATGATGATCTCACCGAGGAAGTTTATATGCAACCTCCCCTTAGTTCTTTTGTTCCATCAAACAAAGTCTACAAATTTCGTCGTGCTTTGTATGGTTTGAAACAAGCTTTGCGTGCCTGGTTTGCCAAGTTCAACTATATCATTTGTGACTTTGGCTTTTCCTCCAATGCCCATGATTCTGCCTTGTTTATACGTAAGACGGAGTATGGTACTATTCTTCTTCTCCTCTATGTAGATGATATGATTATCACTGGAGATGACCCCACGAGTATTTATAGTCTTCAACAGTTTCTCTGTCACCAGTTTGAGATGAAAGATTTGGGTTTGGAAATTTCTCAAGATTCATCTGGTTACTTTCTTACCCAGGTGAAGTATACTTCTGATCTCTTGGCTCGTGCTGGCCTTACCGATTGCAAGACTGTCACTACTCATGTTGATCCTCAGACTTGTCTTACACCTCTTGAAGGTTCACTATTGTCTGATGCCACCAAATATTGTCAGTTAGTTGGCAGTCTTGTTTATCTCACGGTTATTTGTCTAGATATTGCTTATGCTGTTCACATTGTCAGTCAATTCATGGCTAACCCCCGTTCTCCACACTATGATGCTCTTATTCACATTTTGTGCTATCTCAAAGGCACTTTATTTCATAGTCTTCATTACTCTGCACAGTCTTCTCTACAGCTTCATGCCATTTCTGATGCAGATTGGGCGGGGGATCCTACTGACCGTCGTTTCACTACTGGGTTCTGCTTCTTCTTGGGCACCTCTTTTATTGCCTGGCGTAGTAAGAAGCAAACTCTTGTTGCTCGTTCTAGTATCGAGGCTGAGTATCGTGCTCTTGCTGACACTACTCAAGAGCTTGTGTGGCTTCGTTGGCTTCTTTCTGATTTGGTAGTTTTTCATTCTTCTGCCACCAATCTTTATTGTGACAACCAGAGTGCTATTCAGATTGCACATAATGATGTCTTCCATGATCGCACCGAGCATATTAAGATAAATTGCCACTTCATACGCCAGCATGTTACTCAAGGCACTGTTCGTCTTCTCTTTGTTACCTCTACTGAGCAGACCGTTGACCTCTTCACCAAAGCTCATCTTCCAGGACGCTTCTCTGATCTTCTCGCCAAACTCAAGTTACTATTTGCCTTACTAGCTTGAGCTTTAAGGGGGTGTTAGTTGTTATCTATTCCTATTATACTTAGGACTCTTGTATTCTTGTACACGTAGGTTTCCTGTACACTTAGATTTCTTGGCTTATATATACAGTCTTCTCCTATTGTGATTGACACATTGAATATATACAATACATATTATTTTCTCTCTCTCTACTATTCTCATAACAATGTTTATTCCCTATTTTAACAATATTTATAGATGGAGTTTGATTAAGAGACCAAATCAAATTATATTTTATACATTGGGCACTAAATTGTAATTTTCTTAACACTAAGGATTGACATGAAACAAATAATATATTTTAGAGACTAAAAAGGTGGTTAACTCATTTGGGTTGCAAACTTGAATTTTTGTGTAAATTTTATGCCAAAATTTTATATTTGTATTTTTAACCAAACATATATCTCTTATCCACCTTCTGAGTGGACACATATACGACAGGTCAAAATTTCAGATATTTCTCATATTTTTTAACTTTGATGCTTTAGAAACAAGGAAAATGTTAAAAATGATGATTTTAGAAACAAACATAACAAGAAAAATGTTACAAAAAATTATTTTTTTACAAAAAGGAGAACCCATATAAAAATGATGATTTTAGAATTATTGTAAAGAATATTTTAGTTTAATTTTTATCATTGTCATTGTGTATAAGAATATATATTTGGTTGTCAAATAGTTAAAATAGCAGCTCCAATGAATTGTTATTTGAGTTATCATAATTACATTGAGTCTATTTGATATAGATTTATATAAGTTAAAAATTGATAATTGAAAAGTAAAATCAAAAGCACTTTCGGTAACTTTTATAATGAGTTTTTCAATTTATTTTAGATTATTTATGCTTAATAAACCGTAAATGAAAATTGCATCAAACATACTTATTATAACAGTTATGTGTTTCAATTCGGTTGCCGTTGAATTTTACAAATTTTGACGTCTCTAACGTTAGTGTTATATTTGACATAAATCTTGACGTACTGTCAAATTTTGACATTACTATCAACAACTATATATATATATATATATATATGCTATAAAAATTCAAAAATAGTTAAGAAATTGAGATCATATTTGTGGCAAAAGTGATACAAGTATAATAAGGTTTTTTAAATTTAGATATTTTTGTAGGGTAACCTAACTAAAAGTTAATAGTATGATATCTAATTTGATAATTTAATATTAGAAATACTCTAATAATTGTCAAATTTTGACATTACTATTAACAGTAAGATATATGTATTATAAAAATTCAACAATAGCTAAGAAAGTGAGATCATAATTGTGCCAAAAGTGATACAAGTATATAATAAGGTTTTTTAAATTTAGATATTTTTGTAGTGTAACCTAACCCTAAGTTTGGCAAGTTAAAAAAAAATCAAAAAGTTACTCAAAAAGTTAAAAAGTTATCACTATTCACCAAAAGTCAAAAATTACGGCTGCACAACTCTCAATCTTAATTTTTTCCTACACACTAATTTATATAATTTTTTAATATACATTTTTCCATAAAAAGTCAAAAAGTTAACCCAAACAATCATATTTTTTTTCTCAATTTTTCAGTTCAAAAAAATAAAAAATACACTTATTTAGGACATCCCAAACGACCCCTAAATATTAACAGTATGATATCTAATTTGATAATTTAATATTAAAAATACTATAATAACTGTCAAATTTTGACATTACTATCAACAGTGATATATATATATATATATATGTTATAAAAATTCAACAATAGCTTAGAAATTGAGATCATAATTGTGCCAAAAGTGATACAAATATATAATAAGGTTTTTTAAATTTAGATATTTTTGTAGTGTAACCTAACCTTAAGTTTGGCAAGTTGAAAAAAAGTTAAAAAGCTAAAAAATTATTTAAAAAGTTAAAAAGTTATCACTATCCATCAAAAATCAAAAATTACGGC